AAGGGGTGTAAAGGAAACATGATTGCCTATTTATATAATTGATATACTGGGCATAAGTATATGCGTGCATATTTCCTCTTAAGTAGTAGTTACTGAGCCTTCAACTTGTAAAAATAAATTAAAAATATGGCGTTCACATTTTTTCTAGTTTTTGAACGAGCTGCCCTCTTCAGTTTATGTTGTGCCTTTGGATGTTATCAGACAAATGGTAGATCCTGCAGTTTCATGAAGGCTGCCAACGAACGATTTTTTTGATACCAAATGGAACTACAGTGCAACTGCACATAGAAGCAGTGGCTATGACGGAATCGGTGCCATATTTAATAGGAGAACATAGAAAACAAGTCTCAAAGCAAAGTCAGCTGATTCTTATTTTGTCCTTTGAAACACTATGCAGCTGCGTAAAAAATTGTTTTAACAATATCCATATTTTTGTTTTTACTACTACTTGTTTTTACACGACAAAATGGAGTAAAAACTCAAAAAATATTTTTAACTGCACCGCCAGCATTGGAAATACTCAAAAGTTATCCCTTTTAGATTTCCAAGAAGCAAGAAGTCATCAATAAAAGACTTTAAAACTCACCCGAAGCAAAAATAATTTTATTGGGAAAACAGTAAATAAATTAAACAATGAACTTTATTATCCAAATTTAGTCCGCTTTCGTATTATAAGAGACCCTCAAAACGCGTTAATTCTGTTTTATTTGAAAATCGAAACATAATAAAAAATAAAATATTAGAACTACCATTTTTAATTTTTAAATATTGACAACGGGGCGTAATCGTCCCCATAAAAAAAGTTTCTAATACTGTTTTTTTGTAAAAATTTGATTATTTTTTAGAAATTAATCAGCCATATTCGATCCGCCATTCTGAATTTTAAAATTTGTTGGAGAGTTTCTTAAAATTTCAGTTTTTATTTTGAACTCCAGACTGAATTAAAACTCTTAAATCAATTTTTATTCTTTTTTCGACAATTGCGGATCTTTTTACAAGCTTTTATTAGGTTTCACCTGCGTGTAATCAAATCTTGAAATCAATTTTTAACTTACTTCCCGATGAGATAGGGGCTTGAAACTTTAAACTTGGCTCAGACCTCGATGAAAATGCCATATGAAAGATGAATTAATCGGCTAGATCTGGTTGGTTTCATATTTGGAAAGTATATTACTTAAACGGAAAGAAATAATACCGCAAAAAATTTAGTCGTTAGGTCGTGTGAGGATAGATTTTTTTATATTTTTATTAACCTATATAAAAAGCATGTCTTAAAAAAATCGTGTTTGATTATATGCTTTTCTTACCGGCAAACTTCTCTGACATTTTTGGCCATTCATGTTATACTTTGGGAATTAAATTTAGCGCTTTCGATAGAAGCAAAACTTTGATATCAAACAAAATAGCTCTGAAAGTTTATATAATTCAACAAAAACGAAAATGTGACTAATGTTATTCCTTTTAATCGAAAATATTGCCACTAACCCACAATTACTCCTTGACTTGAAAAAAATTGGTCGAAAAATAATGTTTTTCGAAAAGAACATGCAAAAACCACCGGATTTGTTTCGAAATTTTTTTGTATATTTTTTATATAAATTTACAGAGTTTGAGACGAGAAGCACGATCTCACTGTTTAAAACACCAAAAACAACACTCAAGTTATAAAACGCATTTTGTAGTTATTGATTTTTTTCGAACCTGTACGTTGTAGCGCTATTCAAGATATTTAACTTGGGCCCTGATAGAGGTTTTTCGACTCTTTGAGAACCAAATTAAAACAATTTTAAAGTTAAATTTTTGAAATTTCATTTTCCTTTTTTTTTTTTTTAATTTCAGAGTAAAAACTCGTACAGCAGTTGCGTAATGCTTGGTTGACTAAGAATGCGTCATACAATAACTGAATTGATTGCATCTACTGCTCCGTTAATACGGATTACAGTCGTCATCTGTCGGTGATATAACTAAGGTAGGAATATTTTAAGAGCTACATTGGGAGACTTTAAGGTGAAATTTTTATGAGTACCTTACTTAACCTATCTCAACCTTGAGTAATAAAACCCTTGTTAAGTTAATCATAAAATTATCTACGTTTTATTTCGGAACATATCAAAAAGAGAGCCCCATACATTTCCAATTCCTTTACCAAAGAAGAGGAGCAGCGGCGTAATGCGCAGCAAATGGGCTGGCCAGAGGAGCGGCAGCCGCATAACGAGCAACAACTGGAGCAGCAGCATATTGCGCTATGACGGGAGCGGCAGCAATACCATTGTGGTTACGTGCAACAAATTGGCTGCTGGTAGCAGTCACCACAGGAGATGGTGCAGCAACAACGGCGGCTGGAGCCGCTAAAGCAGCTAAAGGAGCAGCGGCAGCATAACGAGCAACAACTGGAGCGGCAAGTGGAACAGCAGTAACAACTGGAGCAGCATCGATACCATTGTAATTGCGGGCGATCACTTGGCTGCTGGTGGCAGTAACCACAGGAGCTGGAGCGGCAACAAAAGCGGCAGGTGCGGCATAAGTCAAAGGAGCAGCAGCCAGGATGCCGGGTTTAGCAGCAGCGCAAGCGATGAGAGCGAAGAGAGCAACGGCCTGGTGGGAAGGAGAGGGTAAGAAATTTTAACAAAGTTTCTTTAAAAAAAACAATTCTTAAATTACTCACGTATTTGAACATGTTGAAGTGTTAGGTGTTTCTTTTCTGTGACTATTGCTTAAGCGAAAGCTAAAGATGATTTGATATCCATTACCAAAATCGGTGCAATATATATACTCGTAATTAAGGGTTAAAAATGGAAGGTGCCTATCGATGTGGTAGTATTCAAGTTCAAAAGAACTTGAGTATCGAATGTAGATATCACTAATATTTAGTTGAATAACAATGTTTTATTTTTGTATGCAAGTTGACCGCATACATATAAACATACATTAAAATAGTTTTTGTCTACTCGTTGAATTTCAAATACTCTGAATTACAAATGCCATGGGTTAGCTTCATATGCGCAGTGAATTTCTTGAATGAATGCAAAATATTTTTATTTGGTAATTGAAACAGACGCACAATTAAAAATCTGTATTGGTGAGGTATTTAAATTGCACTCATGAGCATCTAAAAAAATACCAAAATTGTAAAATGCCCTGAATAGTAATGTAGAAGTGGCTACTTATTTAAAGCTTTTGATGCATTAATTTATTTTGCTAAAATGTAAGCTTTACTACAAGCAAATTCATTATAAAAGCTTAACTGCATTTAACAAACCGCATCATTCACTTTCCAACTTTTGTTCAAGAATCAAATAACCAAAAACCACAAAATCCATTTAAAATGTTCAAATTCGTAAGTTGCCAGCATTTTACTTAAAAATCCTAAAACCACAAATTTTTAAAAAATTTCTTTCTTTCAACAGATCGTTGTACTCTTCGCCGCTCTCATTGCCTGCGCTGCTGCTAAACCCGGTATT